GTAGATAGTGAGTAATTGAACTACAGTCAGAAGTATTGTTGACGTTCGTTGATTAGCGTTTGTTTTAGCGCGATTGTTGAAAATAAGTGTATCGTAAAGTTATATACAGAAAGAATAAACCAGTTTTATTAAGTAAGGACTTGTGTCGCTAAAGTTTCGTCGGAACGAAGTTACGGAAAATTAATTAACAAACGGAGACGTAACAATACTTTCTCACCTTTCTATCTATAAAAATCAGAATGCATTGTTTCATCAGTTGGGTACCAATATTTTCAGCCGTAATCGGAGTAATATCAAATGAGGTTCAACCAGCTTAGAATATTTAAGTTAGTCCTAAATAAATATACTAATCTAACAGTGCAAACCAATCTTTATGCTGAAATTATAAACATAAAGAAGAAACAAAATTACATTCGATATATTGTCGAGCATAACCAATACTGCTGATGAAAGTAACAATAAATATTACTTCAACATGTGTATAGCATTAGCTGTATATTTGAAACTGCACTAATAGTACGAAAATATATATATAACGAGGACTGAGAATTGGCAGACAGTACTTGAACAACTTGCATTATGTAAACATTTTTAAAATAAAGTTGTTACTGAAAGTGAAAAGAAGAATTTAAGCACTAACTGTAGGGAAACAGGTATTTACAAGAAGAAGATTGTTCTTGTGTACTGTCAGAAGTTGAATTATATATTATTTCGCCAATTGTCGAAATAAATGGCTTTTACTTATAATTCTTAATAGCATAAATATATATACTATGTTGTTGTTGGGCTTAGGATTATTCTACAGTAGGTGTTTGTGACTTGTTAGCGATAAATTCAATGTTGAATAAACAGCACACACTTTACTTGTTTTCAAATAATATATATATATTCGGAACAAGTTAAACGTATGTAAAACAAAGTCTTCATATTATAGAGATTACAGGCATATCATAAACACTATTTATATATATAGTTCTCTTCAAAAGTACACTTAGGCTTATTCAATTACTTTAGAATTTCAGTTGACAAGTCGAACTATCTTCTATATTACTATCGTACTAGTATTCTGCCTGTGATTCACTTACAATTGTAACGCGAGTTACGTAATCGTTTGGTTTTCCTCTTTCTAGATATCCTCTGTTCCATTTGTCAAA